GTGTGGATCCTCCAGTCCTAATTTCCCTCTTCCCACCACTTGCACATTTTCCTCCTCACTGAGGTGGTGAGAAAGGTGTCACCAGCTTTACTGGGAAGTGCTCGGGTCCCCAGCCTCCAGCCCTAACCACAAACTTTGGGGTTCAGCCTGAGGCCAGCCCTGCCKCCACAAGGAGCGGGAAGTACTTGGTGGCCTCTAATCTGCTGTTTGTTATCAGCAGCAGATAGTGCCTAATGTGCCCAGCACCATCCCACGCCCCGCGGTTTCCCGCAGTGAAGGCTGGATGTCRGTGCTGCACATCCTGCATGGGGTGAGAGCAAGTCACAGGAGGCATGGTCGAGTTCCTCTGAACACCTGCCTTGATAAAGTTAACAWCTGTCCCAGGAGGATCCTTAATCTCCCTTGGGTAAAAAGATGATTCTCTGGTTGTTGTGGGTGGAAGTTGAGACTGATGATGTCTAGTCAGTTTTGTGGCCACCTTCTCACAGGACGGTTGTGTTGGTGTTGCATAAACAAAACCAAAAAATGTAGGGGAAGAGGATGTTTAGGACAAAAAAAACCCAAACCTTTTTTTAAGTTTTTCCTTACTTTGCTCCTGGGATTTCACTCCCTGCCTGTGCCTGTGTTCCCTCAAGCATGTCCCTCCCTTGTTGCCCAATAGACACTCTCCTGGCTCACTTGGCCATCAACGTCCCTCTTGTATAGTGCAGAGGGCTGGAATACATACCCCAGCAAAGCATATCCCAGTCAGGAGTGCCCTGAAGCTACTGGGTAGCYTCAGGTCACCTACTGCAGCATGTTCCTTGAAGTTTTAGCTCTCTAAACCTAAGTTACAGTCTGCATAAATATAGTGGTTTTCTGGTTTTTGGCATTTTTTCCTCAGCAATTCCAAACTGCGTGCCCTGGCAACRGCCCTGTCCCCAGGTTTCCTGAGGTTTGGTGGCACGGAGACAGATTTTCTTATCTTTGATCCAAACAAGGATTCAACTTCAGAAGAAAAAGTCCTCTGGGAACTTCAGACACAGCAAGGTAAAGTCAGCATCAGTGTGTTAGGCTTGAAACTCTCCAGGGTTTTGGAAGGAACTTTGTTTCAGGCTGAGGATGTTGCAAGGGTACAGCAACAGCACTGGGGTCCTCCACAAGGTCAGCATTGCTATCATCCATGGACAGGAGATCTGTGGACTTTCAGCATGGTTTATGGGAAGGGCTGTGTCAGCCATGGAAAAGTGAGACAGGATGTGGGGGAACACATATGTTCCTTGGTGTCTGCCGGAACTCTCCCTTTGCTGCCCTCTGCTCCYTGTCGCTTTGACAGGGAAAGTGCAAACCTGCTGGACCGCTGCCAACTGCTTGAGCTTGGTATTTTCTCTTTGAACTTAGCAAAAGTACATAAATTCTTCAAGAGGTGTTTCAGATGAAAAGAATCCTGTCTACTCCTGTGGCACGTAGCACAATGGTGCAATCCTACATTACTGTATGACCTGAGATGCTTGGTTTTGAAGTTGAGTGGTACTTTTCCTCTCATAGCACTTTGTTAAGCAGCCACTTCCTGCGACTGTGGCTCGTGCTTCCTCTCTGGTTATGGCTTGTTCCTGGTTTGCATGCTTAGAAAAAACATGAAGGAAAAGTGTCTTATGACTCCTGCCGGCACTGCTGCAGGAGCYGTGCAGGGAAGTCAGCACTTTCCCCTGCATGAGGCAGGCAGTGCAGGAAACATTGCCCTGTTCCTGCCCACAGCAGGGTGGACCATGATCCCTGCCACACCACTGTATGCCAGGACRGCTTATCTGCTCCTCAGGCATGGCAACCCATAATTGTCAGCTCACTGGAATGAGGGTTTCCGGATGGTGCTCTAGCTGAAATAGTTTATTGGGGTCTGACAGCCACAGCAGCAGCTTCCAGAAGTCCTTCTCAGTCTTCCCCTATCCCCCTGTCTACATCACCTTAAATTGGAAAGTACACATTTTATACATAGTATGTTTCTATGCATCAAACSAGCCCTCTTTCTCTGTGTGGCTCATGTGAAAGTAGGGGTGACTTTCACAGAAGTGCACAACTGACTCTCAGCCAGGCCCCAGGGATTTGTGCTTCCTCCCGAGGGATGCAGCCCTTGGTGTACTGGACCGTGGCTGTGGGGGTGAGGAATTAATTCCTATCAACCTTCTTCTGTCCTACAGAGGCTTGTGGCTTGAGGCCTRCATTTGCTGCTGTCGAGAAGCTGCTGCTGGCCCAATGGCCCAGCCAGGAGAAGCTGATTCTTGCCGAGCAGAACCGGAAAAAACACAAAAACACCACCATTACAAGTAAGACTTAAACAGCGGGATGCAATTCTCTGCCCAGCAGTAAAAGGGCTGTAGGTGGTTAGGAGCTGAAGTCACTGAGAAAGAAACATTTCACCCACTTGGAAAAATATTCAGAGAACTCTTTTTCTACCRTTTGCCATCTCATGTTTAATAGTATTCACTGCAGGGGCTGGGAGGATCTCAACACCTGCAAGATATTGTGTAGTGAGGCCTGACCTCTTCTGTCTGTCTGGGAGAGTTTGGCACATCTGCAGCATCAGGCTAAATAAATACAGGCAGTAAAGATTGTTGCTTGGCTAGAGCTCAACTAGCCTGCTCTAACCTTGAGATAAACACCCCTCCCTTCTCCTCTGTGCAGAAAATACACTGGATATTCTCTACARCTTTGCAAACTGCTCAGGGTTTCACCTGATCTTCGGACTCAACGCCTTGCTGCGGAAAGGTGGYTTGCAGTGGGACAGCTCAAATGCCCAGACACTGCTGGACTACTGTGCTTCCCAGAGATACAACATCTCCTGGGAACTTGGGAATGGTAAGTGATTGCTGGCCAAGTCAGCTGTCACCTGGAAAAGTATCACCACAGGGTACAGGCTGGTAACTTCAGGTGTTTTGGATGATATGTTTTGGCACATAAAGGCAAGGTGATGTTTTATTAAGAGACACTGAGGTCTTAATTTGTAAAGAGGGATTTCACAAGAGGACAGAACGAATGAGCAAATTGAGATGATTTTGCTACTCATACCAGGACTTTGAGATGAGGTGAGCAGTGCCCCTCAAGGTACAGGATGTCACCTCTGAGGACTGGCTGGCACAGGGTGCTGGAGAGCAGCACGCTGTATCCCTGTGGCTTTTGGTTTCATGCTGATCATCTTCAAATAGCTCACATACACCATGCCAGATAAGGTGAAGCCTTAGGGGACTGGTGCTTCCCATGTGGAATGAGCTGCCCTATTTTGTGCCACAGAAACAGGGTGGTGTGTTGATGTGCACGTGTCTTCCCCAGAGCCCAACAGCTTCAGGAAGAAATCSGGCATCCACATCGATGGCTTCCAGCTGGGGCAAGATTTTATTCACTTACGCCAACTTCTGAATAACTATGCTCTCTACCAGCATGCCAAGCTCTAYGGTCCTGATGTTGGGCAGCCCCGAAAGCACACTCAGAGGCTGCTGAAAAGGTAGGGGTGTGAGGTGCCAGCRGCACTCCCTGGGGTGGAGCAGGTGTGGAGAAGAGTGGCTTGTCTGCCCCAAATGCAGGGGGTATGAAGAGGCATCAGGGCAGGGGTTGAACGATTTTTTTCCCTTRAGTAGGAAAACTAAAATCTTATTTGCATGCACAAGCTCAAGGCTTGAATATCAGCCAGGTGAAACTCAGCTGCTGGCAGAACGTCAGTGGTTCACACKTTTTTCCATTGAGCAGTGGCTCCARGGCTGTGCTAACAAGGGCTTTTAGCCTGAGAAACACCCGTGTGTACACAAACATCAATTCATCCTCCCAGCAACCTGCTGAGGCTGCCAGGCTGCCCAAAGCCTGCTTAGAAGCCATGGCAAGCTTGGTCCCCAAGAATTCCCCATCAGTACTGCCAGCTGGGGGGAGAGGGGAGGGCTGTGCTTGGTGTTGCACTGGTGGAAGGGCCATGACCCATCACTGGTGCTGCTAACTCCCTGCTTTCCACCATTCCCTCTGGTTGCAGCTTCCTGAAATCAGGAGGGAAGGCGATYGACTCTGTCACATGGCACCAGTAAGTACCACTTGGTTATCACTGATTRCTGCCTGTTTTCTTTACAAAATGCCAATTTGAAAATCTCCATAGAACAGGGGAGTGTGAAATTCCCCTTTCAGCCATTCTTCAGCGGCCTCTCCACAAATTTCTTTGTGCAGAATGAAAGATGAATTCATGTTGCAAAAGTGCTGAAGCCTCCAAAGGGTCTACTTGGTGCAGAGACCCAAAAGCAGTGGTGGGAGGTTGGTACATAARCACAGCAGCAGGGCATGCAATGTGTGCAAGATGATAATTTTATTTGCCCTATTTATGTCTACTTGATATAAAGGAAAAGCCCTGCAGATCTGGCTGACCCTTGTCCCTGAAGAAGTATCAGCAGCTCCTCCTGCTCTCTTGAGTTTATTCTCTGAGTCATTTCAGGCTCTGTGTGGGCAACTCACCCTCAGATCCCACATGCAGTGCAAGCAGCACCTGCACAATCCTGGCCCTTTGTTCTTGTGCAGTGACTTTGATTTGTAGGTTTAAAGTGCTCATAGGGACAGTGGGGTTAGTTGGCGCCAGGGCCATGAACTCCACATGTTTGAAAGTCATTTCCATGTGAAGTCATGAAAGCTCTGCTTTCCAGAGCTAAAAGCAGGACAGTGACATACAGCAGTCAGATAACTGTGGGAAAAGATGAACATASTTAGTTATTATATATGTATAAATTCATGAATTATCTAGGTATTTTGAGCTTCTAGAAAGACACAAAACCTGTCCTTTCCTTTTCCTGGGCTGTTCTTTACTAATTTAGGATTATCKGGTTTTAGCTTCCTCTTGTGGCTGGAAGGCTTCAGCTACTTCTGGTAGGACTGAGTAATAGCAGGATGAAATGCAAAAACCGCAGGGATCCAAATTTAATTGGACAAAACAGAATTAAAACCACTTCTGCTCATGATGGAGGGCTATCTTCATGCTATAGGGATGCCCACATTCCAGCTCCCTCCAAGTGGCCAAAATATTCCAGCAGGCGGATGGATGCTGGGATCTCATATTTTAAATATATAACTTGATACAGTAAAGCAAATAATCACATAGTRGTGTTAGACTCCTCAACAAGAGAAGATTTACAGAAACTGGTTCTTGGTGATGTTTTCCTTATTCTAAATGAAGTACATGCAAAAAAACCTATTKCTTCTGCTGGTGGAAATTTCTGTGATATCCTGCATCCACAGAGGCATTTATATCTGACTGTCCCTTAAATACAAGTGACATACCTACACATTTGRAAAACAAAAAATTAAAAAGCACCAGACAGAAAAATCGTGCTGTGGATAAATTGATACCAATCAATTGAACACTTTCAGTAGTGTTTTGTAYCACTGATGGTATTTTTCCCTAATTTTGGCTATGTTTTTTTTCCCATTTTCAGCTACTATGTGAATGGACGGAGTGCAACAAGAAGGGATTTCTTGAGTCCTGAAGTGCTGGATACCTTTGCCATAGCCATATATGAAGTCTTGGAGGTGCCTTGTCCTCTTCAATCACTCCCACATTCAGTTTCCAGGGGGTTAGCAGAGAATCCAGAATAAAGCACTATTTCATACTAGCARTAAACAGGGATCCTCAAAGCTTGAGTGCTCTGACATGGTAAATCAAAAAAAAAAAGCAAAAAACAATACTGAGAATAAATGAGTGCCAACAGTTTGCCATGCAGCAGTCATGGTGCTAGGTGCATTACACACCTACAACATTCTCACATTCTCATTTATTGATGTAGTAATTACTCAGGGATGTAATTTATGGTCACCTCCCCCCCCCCCACTGCATTCTTTTTTTATTTTGACATCCTGAGAATGGTATAACTTAGAATATAGCACTATTCAGCACAAGAAGAATTACAGGGCATGGACTTTAGTGATTTCTGTCTTGTTTTGTATATGTAGCAGGTTAGAGTTGGTTTGTTTTTTGTTGGGGAGGCAGAGGCATGAATCTACTTCTAGTCCTTTCAATCCAAATTTCTGTGACATCCCATCTCAGGGTGTTATCTCCTTAATGCAATCATCCTAAGTAAGCCTTTGGCTAAAGCAGAAAATTTAATTTATTTCAGCAGCCAAAAAACTTAACTGTTGTCTCCTCTTCTTCCCTAATTTGAATTTGGATCACTGGCCAGATTGTTGACGGTACCGTGCCAGGCAAGAAAGTCTGGCTGGGAGAGACGAGCTCTGCCTATGGAGGAGGAGCTCCCAGATTGTCCAACACTTACGTTGCTGGCTTTATGTGAGTACCATGTCCCAGCTGTGGGGAAATTACATATTTTGCCAGCTGAAGGGGACTGCCCCATAGGAGGAATGTGTCTTCCTCAGGTTTCCTGTGGAGTGTGGGCAGGTTTTTTCCTTCTATAAGACATGATGMCATTTTCACAGGGCCTGGTGGGCCAGCAAGTCGAAGTCTGGTAATGACAGGCAACCTTGTTATTGGTTTGATGATTTCTCTCAGCCTTCAGATCCTTGGTCAGTTCAGGAGAATCCACTGCCTCTCCTGGTTTCCACCACCTGCAAACAGGGGAATGGAGCAACTGTTCCCACCAATTTGGGCTTAAAGGGGTGGTCTGAACTTATTTTTTAATGTAATCAATGCAAGACCTGAATTGAAATGAGTTGTGTGGTTTTAATGAAGTAAGCATCATGCACTAATTTTTGCTTTCCTGCTTCCCGAGCTGGTTAGAAGGGGGCAACAGAGTACARTTATAGTCAGCAATTTCATCTGTGTGACATTTGCCTCATTTTTTGGCAGGTGGTTGGACAAACTCGGGCTTTCAGCCAGGCAGGGSATTGATGTGGTGATGAGACAGGTTTTCTACGGGGCAGGGACATATCACCTGGTGGATGCCAACTTTGAGCCTTTGCCGGTATGTAAATAACAATCCCTGACTGCACCTCTGCACAGGCAACACTGCGTGTGGTGGGACAAGTCAGCTCTTTCAACATCTCTTTTTGGCTGGATGGTCACAGGAATCCTTGCATCTAAATCATATCATGTTTCATTATGGGTTAATATACTAAATATATACATATATATATGTATCTATACAATATATTTACACCAAATGCAGGGGTGCAGCCAGTCTTCAGCACAGCAGAGACGGATTTGTAGGACATGATGCTCTGGTTTCCACCTGCTCCTGGAGGCTGTCTTGGGTTTGAGTACTCCTTGGTTGAGTGATGAGCAGTTTATGAACAGAAGTGGTACAAGATATCAAAATTAATTGCATTCCATGTGAAAACCAGGTCAACACAAAGTCAAGACTCAAGCATGTTGTAGGTCATGAGCATATTCAGCCYACAGCGGTGGCTGAAGGATAATTAAATTGGAACACACATTTAGTATAGTTTGATTTATCAGGAAATAACGTTTTGCTGTGATGAAACCTCATTATTTGAACTACACATTGTTCTTGCACATACAGCATGTTTCTTTGTACTGCTGGCACTTAGCTTGCGGTGAGAGGACAGCATCTTTCCTTTTAGCATTCCTCTCATTTTTCTGCTTCCAAATTATGATTTTAACAGGTGGTCATAAAGCCAGCCTGAAAGAAAACCCAGCATACGGGGATTTTCCATCCTGCTTGCTCAGCTGGTTCCTATGCYAGAGGCTGCCATCAGGCTTGCTGCTTTGGGCTTTTTATTCCCTCATTTAAAATAGATTTAATTTGGACCGAAACGATGTGCCTTGTTCCTCAGCTACAGGCAGTACAGATGCTAATCAAGCCAATAATGTTTCAGAGGCGGGGAAATCCAAACCCAGGCCCATCAACTGCAGTTTGAACCAAAATGAGGAGGCACAGCAGTATCAGAAGGCTGCACCTCCTTGCAGAGAGGTTGAGCATGAAGTCTGATAGGAAAAGTAATTTCCTGGGCTTGTGGTGAGTCAGGAGAGAAACACAACAGTTTTCTTTCTAAGAAAACTTCAAAGACAGACAAATGAGCTGGAGAAACTCTCTGAAAGCCTGGAAAGACCTGGAAAAAAGGAGTCTGCATKAGTATCACCCTTCTCTGAGGGATCATCCTGGGGTATCAGAGGATGCACTTGTGACTRGAATTCAGAAATCAACCCTGAGACCTGTTCAAAAGTACAATGTTAGTGTAAGGGGTTAAAGTTTTGAGAGCTTTTTCTTGGTGTTGTGCTTTTGCCTTAGGTACATGCTTTTCTGCAGGAAGGGCAGCTCACAGCCTGCATTCAACCCTGAGGCCCTCTGTACCCTGCAGAAAGGTGTTTCCAAAAATCAAACAATCTCTCCTGTCAAAGCTCTGAGAGTTGCTTATGAAGGGGAAAATGACTCAAAGGTACCTTGTAAACACAGCTGCTCACTGGCAGGGCTTCCCCTTCAGCTACAGTGTTTGTGTGAATTTGAGTAGATATGGTGAAAAGCTTGGCAAAGCAAAAAGCTATGGAGGAAAACCCCTTGAAATGAGCATCAAAATGAAGGTCAGGTTAAGCACTGTGTGGAGCACATGGCATGTACACCTATGTTTCCATGTGTTTTTGTGCCTCCCAGGACTACTGGCTGTCACTGCTCTACAAGAAGCTGGTGGGTACCAAGGTGCTGCAGGTTGGCCTGGCAGGAGCTGACAAGAGGAAACTCCGTGTCTACCTCCACTGCACAAACAACCTCAAGTAAGCCTCCAGAAAAGGCAAAATACCCTAGAAACTGAGCCCGTGGCCACCCCCAGGCTGACAAATGCCATTTGGGAAAATGCAAGGTCACTCACTATTTCAGTGAAACCTCCTTCTCTCCTGAWCCCCACTATCACCTTCTCTTGCCTTGCAGCCCAAAGTACAGAGAAGGGGATGTGACACTGTTTGCCTTAAACCTCTACAATGTTACCCAACATTTGGAGCTACCGAATTCCCTATCGAGCAAGCACGTGGATCAGTACCTCTTACTGCCTCATGGCAAAGAGAATATTCTTTCCAGGTAAGTGTGCAACTCCTCCCAACCCTGTGGCAAAGACTGTGCATAGGGTCAGATGGTCTTTCAAATCTCACCTCATTCAGTTTGCAAGGGGGAAGAAGAGGTTACCATTCAGACATCTGAATTTTTTTCCAGTTAGATCTGACTTCTGTTAAATCAGGTCTCCTAAACTCAGGCTCCTGAAAGCTTCCTAAGTTATAAAGACATTTACTTGATGTTAATTTGGAAGTTTTTTCCTAGCAGGATTCAGTGCTCTGGGCCAGTTGCTAAAGCCCATTTTTTTTTTTTTTTTACACAAGCACAGGTAAATTGTTTTTCCAAGTGCTGGCTACTGATTTACAGAAATGTGTTCAGGCTTTGTATGTTGATGAGGTTTTTTATGTTGTCATTGTTAATGCATCCACAGGGGAAGGATCTGCTCTGTGGGCATAGAAGAATATTATTATTTTCAGGGAAAAACCAATTACAATTTTTAACAAAAAGCCTATTTTGCTATTGATCTCACTGGAAGAAACATGTACTTTTCAATGTGCTACTACTCTGAAGGAGYCCTTGCAGAGGGAGTTCTGCAGATGTCTGTGTGTGTGTGCGTACACCCACACTCAAGAGAAGTTTAGTTTGGCTTTGGGCTGAGTTAATGTTTGCACTCAGGCCCAGAGCTGTTTGTGCTCGATGGCAAACAGAGCACAGCTGCCCAAACAGTCTCTCTGTCCCTCTCCAGGTCTATTGAGCTGAACGGCCGGGTGCTACGGATGCTGGATGATGAAACACTGCCAGAGCTTATGGAAAAGCCCCTTGGTCCTGGCAGCCTGCTCGGCCTTCCAGCCTTCTCCTATGGCTTTTATGTTATCAAAAATGCCAAAGCTCTTGCTTGCATTTAATTGGTCATTATACACACTCAGGATAAATGTAAAGCACTTGGCTAGTAGGGAATTCTAATCCTAGAAATTCACATTTCTACCACAGGATTTAATTCTGGTAAAGGATGTGGCAGCACTAGTATGAACTGTGAGATGGGGAAGACATAAGACCCCACAGGGTAATTGGTGAGGGATGCTTGTTCAGCTCCCARGAGAATTATCCAGGTAGAGCAAGACCAGGCAGGGGCTGATTTGCTCTTGATCCAGCCTGTCACTGTACTTGAGCATGGAACCCTTCTCCATACCACACACGGAGCCACATCAACTTCTCACACTGCTCAGAGCTCTGCCAGCYCAGGCACTGCAACCTCCCCTCTCCCTCACTTTTGTGCAAGCAAGCTCCTAAAGCAGCTTCTTCAAAAGCTTACCTACAGAAAGGATGAGCAGAGTTTTTATTTGACCTGCACAGCTGTGACTTTGCACTATGTGGAGAACCTGAGAAGGGGTTTATGTTTGCTGAGGGCATTGTGGGGTGGAAAGCATGGGCATGCAAAGCAACCCAATGTCAGAGTGCTTGCAGGAGGAAAGGCCTGGCAGAGAAACCAGGTCGCCTACCAGATTTGGGGCAGCACCACACACTATACTCTCAAGCTAGGTGAGTTCAGTCACAAGATGGAGCTGTGGCTATGTTTTTGACACAGGRAATGCAGGCTATTCCTGTAGGGTGGTCTACCACTGTTATCACACACTTTGTCCCTGCAAGGAAAGGAGAGGAGCCCCCCCAGTGCCCTGGAAAAAACCCTCAGTTTTTAGTGAACTGCAYGGGGAGTTCGTGACTCCTCAGCCTTCACCACCCTGCAGGCAGCTCAGCTGGGAAGGACTTCCCTGAAACCTATTCACAGGCAAAGCTATCTCTGCTTTACACTCCCTAATGCACTCAGGTCTCTTCCATCCTCGAGGAAATGGGATAGGAAAGAGGCTGAGCAAACCACTCACCCCTGAAACACCAGAGGGATGTCGGTGACCTTAGAGCATTGTGGGGACAGAACTGTTCAGCCAGGCTCACATCCTTCCCGCAAGAGAAACAACAATTTTGGCCAGAAGTCTGTGTCGGTGGTGGCTTTTCTCCTCAGCTGTGCCTTCCCCATGCACACCCTGTTGCAGTTTGTTGTCCAACCTGTCCACACAGGCTGCTGGTGCCCAGGGCAACAAGAAGCCTCAGACAGCACCTGTGGCCTCCTGTACATWTTTATTTGCATCTACTTTTCTTGGAGATATACAATCCACACCACTGTCAACGCCTTATGATATTTTGAGCACAGCAGGGAAAAACAAYCCCACACTACTGTACTTCCCTTTTTAAGATTTAAAAAGATGCTATCAGCTACATGGGGTTTAACACAGGACAGAGAACCTTTTTTAATCAGAGGACTTTCAGAACTGATGTACTTTTGTAGCTGTGATGAAAACCTGCACACTAGAAAGATTATACTTGAGTTCAGTGTGTCAAAGGAGTGTGTGCATCCACAGAAGAGATGCATTCTGTGAAGGGTTAGGTATCAGGGGATAATATAGATCAGAAATGAGGAAGGCTGAGTTTGTTTACATTGTCCAAGCTTCRTAAAAGAAGTAAAGAGAGTGTAAGACGGAGTGGAAAGTCTTACATACAGTCGGCATAAAGTTAATAATATATAATTATTATAAAAATGTAAGTCACAACTAAAACATCAGTTATTATTTGCCTGGTAGCTTTAGAACTTTTCAAAAAGTTTGTTTTATTCCAATGCTTGTGAGTTTTGTATTTAAAGATTTTAATTAAAGCATTTTATACCAGCTTTTGGCAATTTTCAATTATTTTAAGACCCCTTTTTGGCATACTGATACCAGAACAATCTCTACTTTTTTTTTTTTTTTTTTTTTTTTTTTTTTTTTTTTTTTTTTTTTTTTTTTTTTTTTTTTTTTTGTTATAATTACCCTTGCTTATCAATGAGAATACCCAAGTACACAAAAATGGAAGAAATCATACAGGGGTTGGTGTGTTTTACTTGTGCTTGCCCACCAGTTCAGAAGCCCTTCATCCAGCCCGACTCAGACATGACACATGTGCTGGTGATTGGCACACAGGAACTATCAGGAGGGGCACAGGGACATTTGGGCATGCAAATGACAGCTTCACTCAACCATGCCTTCCTCTCTGAGCCCGGTTCTTCAKGGTGGGGTGGGGAGGTTTGATTTACATCTCAGGAACCATCTTTCTCTTTACAAAGTGTTGCACATCAAGCTGATAGCTACTGTTAGCTGTGTACAAACAGAGCAGGAGGGRCACAAGTGCAGGGAACAGGAATGATGGTGGAGCCCAGCATTCCAAGACAGCAATGGTCTGAAACAGAGATCAACGTCACCTAAACAGGATCAATGCTCGCCCCACTCTGTATCTCTGGGGCCTTTCTTCCTTTGTGAATGTTGTAAACCTTGAGGGCTCCAATATGTGTGTGTACATTTGTTTGAGAACAGGGAGAACCGTATCTCATGCTCACTGCAATTCACTTTTGCCCTTTTGACTCTGGAGATCAGATTACTCACATTGGAGTAGTTGTAAACCAGTTCCTGGAAGATGGAGTAAGTTGCATCAGACTTTAGTATAGGAGATCATTTGTTGTACGTGAAAATGGATAATCTCCTTAGAGTAAGGGACATTTTGATCATCACCTCAGATTTGAGCCAAGCAAGATAGTAGGGCCTTAATGCTTTTTGGTTTTTCAAAGTCTAAAATTAGCTATTCCCTTAATTACTTTTCAATGAATCACATTCATTGAAATTAATAAAAAGTGGCCAGGCCACTTTATTATGAATATAAATACAGTGGCAGTAAGTTTACTTTGCTGCTTTACTTCCACAAGATCCTTAAAAAAAATCTGCAAACAGTCCAGGGTTTCTTGCCACATCACATATGAAAAAAACCTCAAAACAGTGTCTGTAGAGGAGCATCCACCTGGTGACATTCAGAGCACCTGTGTTCCTATGGACACAGCAGGCAGAGATGCTGTGGCCATCCATTGCCAGGACTCCCTATTCAAACMTGCCTCAGGCACTTGTCTGTATCTGAATAAAGCCCATGATGATCTTGTCAGCATGAAATGGAGCCTAGATTATTAGTCATTCTTCATCAGAATTGAGCAACTATTTCCTTTATGGTTCTGGACTAATCATTTTACTGCTGTGGACAACAGCTCATTAAAAYAATAAATGGCAAAACATTAAAGTCACTTCATCATCACATTCCTGTTTCCYTTCCTCCTGCCAGTCAGCATCTTGGGAAATTAAAGTTCAAAATGGTTTCCATTGTTTTCTACCAGTGTGTGAGYCGTTCATGCTGAAGGAAGTGTGTAATGCAAAAAAAAACTTATATTCTACAGGGACAATGAACTCCCCAAGCAATCTTTCAGCAGCAGATCCCAGGACATTTTGATGCTGAAACCGTGCCATTTAAGGCAAAGGTTTCATGGTTTTCTCCTCTGCTCTCTGGTTTGTGCAATAATTCATAAACTCATGTTACAACCAGCCCCTGAAGGTGAGGTAACTGAGGTTCTTGTTCATGGATCACTTGGGGCAGATAAGAGAGAAATGGCACTGAATGATCGGTGTTTGTACACACACAGAAGGTTTAGTTTAGAATGATGGAAAGGAGGTATGCAGCCGTTTCGGTTATTATCTATAGAAATAAAACAACATTAAAGTWTAAAGATATAATTTAAGAAAATACATAAGGAAAAGAAAGGATAAGATAGTGGAAAGGAAAAACATGAAAGGAATGAGAAGAATGTTTACAAACAGTGAGTATGCCTGTAGAAAAAGACAGATACTGATAGGTAAAAGCAGCAACAGGAGGAACCATGAATTTCAGAGGAATGTTACTAATTGACACAGACTGTTGCTCATCCAAGGCCATGTTAAATTCCTGGACTTTAAGAAAAATAAGAGAGATACGAATAAAAAAGGGGGGTGCATATTAGAAGGGGATATTAGGCGATTTGGGATGTCTGTACCTCTCAAGTACTTCAGCCAATGGGGAAAGGAAGAGGTTGACGTGGCCAGGAAAACAGGATTAAAAGGAGGCTGCRTCCTCCAATAACTTGAGAGACCCCAGGGGAAATGCCCTATGGCCTCTCCCCTTATTAGATAAAGCTACAGGACTCCTGTSTCCTTTTTGGACACWAACATAATGAATTTTTCTGCACGGATATCACCACCTGTGGACCCAGCGATGAGACTAGATTGATACAATTTTGATGTGGTGGTCACAGTCTTGATCCATCAGGGACGGGGAAGTTCAGTGGGCTAATAKACAGTCTGGTTCAGGTGGGAATGCCCCCGCTGCTAAGCAAAGGTGGGTTTGTTGTGGCCACCTGGGCTGTTCTTACGCAGATCTGAGGCTCCCCACCACACACCCCAAACCTCTGCTGCTCCCCTCCGGCTCCGAGGGTGCAAACCCGGYCTCAAGCCAAGCGCCCGCTGCTTTTGCAGCTTGATTGCTCGAATCCTTAACCCTCAGAGTACAAATCCCTCACACAGATAGTGGGAGAACTGAGTGAGCGAGAAGAGATACAAAATCCACATGGGAAATCTGATTTTTTTTTTTTTWAACTGACAACAGCGGTAAGAGGTTTGCGAGATGACACCTATTACGAACGATCACGTTACGTTTTGGGCACGAACATTTCACCGGTGACACCCTGACCCCGTCCCGCCTCACGCCYGGGCGCAGGGCAGCTGAGGGCGCCGCGCATGCGCCGTTCCGCGTGACCCCGGCCCGCCGGCTGCGGA